CCCCTAGAGTTAGGGGATGGGTTTAGGGTTCAGGGTGTATAGGGTTTAGGGTTTACAATCCCAGCTTCCATTTCATTTACCATTTTCTTTTCCATTTGATTCTCCATTATTGGGGTAATGTACCCGATATTACTAGAGAGCTCCTGATCCACCCATCATTGGGTTTGAAACCCAACATGACAAACCAAGCGCAATTATGCGGGGGCTGTTTGATATTCCTTTCCCGGAAGATGGTCCTTTGCGTGCCGTTTGGTCGGCGCTTTCGAGCTCTTTCGCGAACACCATAGCAACATCAGCTACAATTCTTTGTCAGCGGCCTGCCTGTGAGGGATATGTTCACAAACCCTTTCAGGCACTTCTCGCGCGGACCGTTTTTGTGCTTACTAGCCCATAAATTGCCATGGCTTTAAGAAACCCGCACGAAAAGGTACGAGTCAAAGTGGGGGTAATTGTAGCTCAGCACCCCTTGCTGGACGGCGCAGTAGTTTGCCTTAATCCTCTTCCGCCAAGCCCTTCCACATGGAGACCATGAGTGATAGATAGCATGCCTCAACAGAAGCGACTGTGCATCGGCACCTCATGTGGGCAGTCTCTGATCACTGGGACCCTTTCCGCCCATCTGCGGACTGTCAGAGCAAATCGCGCGCACACTTAGAAACCCATTCTTTGGGAGGGTCTTTACATCCCTAAACCCCCAAACGCCACCAGAGCCCGAACCCTCTCGTCAAGGCTCCGGTCGCTTCTCCAATAGCCACCTCTTGGTTGAAGGGTTGATGGCGATGTAGGAGCTGCAGAAAATGCCTGCGCTGTCGCTGATACAGAGGAGTTCACAGGAGCATCTGACCATGAGAGGTGCCTCATGGCGAGTCGTGAGAACATTGCTTGGAGTCGCTATACCTGCTGGGCCTCCTGCGTCTTCGAACCGAAAGAGAGGAGAGAGGGGGAGGGGGAGGGGGAGAGAGAGAGGGAGAGAGACAGGCACACACAAACAGAGACACAGATGGCGACTGCGAGAGCACGAAACCAGGCAAGCAGGCCTGAGAGCAATGGAGCAACGGATCTCATGAAATCACCTAGTATCCCCCTTAATAACC